ATTCTATTAGCCACGTCTCACCGATGCCTCGGTAAAAGCTGCGACTCATCTCATTCCAGCTTGGTTGTTTAGAAGCTATTTTTTCGAGGCTTAGCATAGGGATCTTCAACCTTTCGCACATTAACTTTGCGCAGTAATAAGCACGTCGGAGGGCCGTACCTTAAAGGAAGTTGAAACCGAGCCATTGCTGCAAGGTGTCCGCTATTTCATTTCTTTATTTCGAAAGTCTGCCCCTAAGCATAATAACTTTTTATTAGAAAACACACAGACGTTCTTTTACGACACTATTTCTCAGTTATGCTGGTATAAACCAGTGCACGTTTTTCTTCTGAAGTATTCAGATTTATGGGTGTCCATGAGTGGATAATACTTTGGATTATTAAAAAATGAAATTTTGAGAAAATCAGGAAATATCATTGCATTGACAAAAAAAAGAAACACTTGTCACTGTCACACATTCGTAACGAGCTTTAGAATTTCAAGCAACCACATCACTGAATTCCTGTAGCTGTTCGGTCTTGTGAGCAGCAAACAAAGCCAAAGACAATCTGTTGAGTACCTATGCCCATTTGGTGATCTTGCTTGTTGCATGGTGAATGTACAATGAATGGACACTTTGTGCACTTCAGGTAAATCTCCAAGTAGATCGTTGAGAGTCGCTATGGATCCAGCCTTCATATTCTTTTTTTTTTTTTTTTTCACTCAGCTGGAGTAGCTCAAGTTTTCTCCGTTATCTAAAGGTGGTGGCATAGATCAAGCTTTTTCTTAATTCGCTGGTTGCACTCTGCACCTTGTTCTTGGTTGTTTTTGCCATTCTGTTTTTTTTCCAAGTGCTCTCGGTAAAAAATGACACAAGACACCCATACCTCTGTTAGCACCAGTCATATGCCCACACAGCCCTTGTATATAGTATTTCTTAGCGGCGCACTTTCCCTTTTCACTCTGCCAGTATATATATAGATATATATATATATATATATATATATATATATATATATATATATATATATAATACATCATTTTAGAAGATTATTACCGCGCAGGTTTTCCCGCCTCCTCAAGAATCGCCGAACTTTCGTTACAAGGAAGTTGAAGCATATGTTTTTTTTTTTTCTGATTGTTCAGAAAAACCGGTGCCTGTTGCTGGGATTCTTCTGGTAGATCGCAGAAGCAGTTGGTTGTGGTACAGGTATCCTTTCTTATGTTGCTTCATGACAAGTGCAATGGGAGGTTCAAAAATAAACAAGGAACTGCATCTCTCTTTACTGCCCATGCAACTTGGTCGATTCGAACTTCTACATTTATGATATGCTTATATGTCTTCAGGATGTCGCTTTCTTGAAAGCGAACATCGTTCATTGTGGGACTTTCCCAATTTTTCTCAGTTCTGCAGTAAAGGCGGGTTGGGAAGTGGCGTTTCTCGGGGCTTTTCCTGTACCCGGCCGCTGGTGCGCCTGCACACACACATACACAACATCGTTATGATGTCCGGAAGGTTTGAGTTATGGCACACGGGATACCAGCAACAGTAGAATTAATGTCGGGAGACGTACACACGTGCTCAGTGCGTCCACACGTGGTCGGGCCAGCAAAGCCAACAATCTGAGTTTCTTACGTCCTTGCAGCCTGAGTGTCTTCATTACTGTAGTCGTCGAATTGTCTTCAGAAGACTGCGGAAGCATGCCAGGTATACAGAAAGCGGCGTGACACACACACACACACACACACACACACGCAAAAAGTGCCACCGAACACCGGCAGGGAACGCACGAAACCACAGCGGCAGTGAAGCCAGCGGAGAGCAGCCGGTTACTTGCCGCAAAGTTAGTTACTGTAAATACAGTAACTCTATGAGCAGCTGAAGGACCACCATTTTTTCAACGTACAGGTTTCTATGTAAGTTTCGCTACCATTTACATTTACCTTGGTCTATATTCGCCCCGCCGTGAGTATCCTGCTTTCGACGAACCTAACAGCCACTCTTCAGTTATGATATTCAGTTATTTTATAATAAAGTGCTAGTAATCTATCATTAGCTTTATCCACTCAATATGTTCAAGTTAGCTGTGGGTGATATTTATAATTTAGTGTTTTTATATTTTCACTATGGTTGAAAACGTTTAGCACAGTGTTTTATCAGTCGTCTGTAATGAATGCCGTAAAGAATTTAAGTGCTCGTTTTCTTGGAAGTGAAACAACGAATTGGTTTAGATGAATTATTTGTCTTTCTAGAACTATAACAGAATGGCATTCAATGTGTTTATTACAGCAAAATATCAAGGCGCTGTCAAAGTTTATTTTCGAATTTCGTGCAAGTCTCTACGCGTGACGTCACAAATTTCAAAGCCAATTTTTCATGTTTTCACGACATTGAGTAAAAGAAAATTTTTGAAACGGCATATACTGTAAAGTCTACGACCCACTTAATGTACTTCATTTTTACGAATTAAGAACTACTTAGGGCCCAGTAGACGCCATCAAATCTATGACGTCACAGGATTTGGTACGGGAACTTCATGGTGGCGTCGCCACTCCCATTTCCATTTCTCGCATGTTCTTGCTTACGAAGCCTCTTGTCGGGGTAACAGCTGGCGTTTTCGTAAGTGCAAAGTTGTCCTTTACTACTCCACCAAAAATGCTTTTCTTTTTAGAGTCCCTAATTGAGAACTAACAGCTACGACGCCATAGGGATGTTAGTAGAAGTGATTGTAATGTAATTGTGAAGAAAGAAAAGTAAACGAAAAGATTACTTGCCACCGAAAAGAGCCAAACATACTACTGTAGATTACAGTTAAACCCCTTTATAAGAGGCATGCTCCAGACAGCAATTTTCGTCTTTTTTATGAGATGTCCCTTATAAGCAGGGTACCTTGTATGCATTTTCTTATCAACTCATATTTTACTATAGGCACACTGGTATCTTTTACACCCATTTGTCTCTTATATCAATGTGTCTTATAAAGGGCTTGGACTGTAGCGTGCCCAATGCTCTACCAATGAGGCCTTGCCTCGTCTCCCTTGGATATCTGCCTTGCCTCATCTTCTAAGCATGTGAGCAGCCCTGCAGATACCATAGAGCGCTCAGGCAGTGTGTGCTGCTATTCACGTAATCGCTTTGTCAAGAGCTGGATGAGTCACTTCCCATTTCAAATTGCTCAGGCAGTATTCGTTTATGGGCTGCTCTTCTGTTGTGGGCCTGATTCTCCACGGCATGTGATTTGCGATCAGGTCACATTAAGCCAAGACAGTCGAGTGCAATGTTTCTTCGGCAATGCGTGAACACTAAAAAGTCCAAGGTCCAGGCCATGGACGTCGACACAATTTTGTGTTGGGGCTGCAGACCCATGTTGAATCACGGTGTGGGAGTGGGCCAGCGCTGGTGTGGTTTTCTGAAGAAGGGAAAGTGCCCTTTCTACACCCACCTGCCAATTCTCATGAGAGTTAAGGCCTCACCACACCTACAAGGTATGTTAGAAAAGTATCCGACCTTATAATTTTTTTTAGAGCACTATGAATTTGAAACAAGCGCGCTTGCATCAGCTGACCTTGAACCTTCGTGCGCATGCGTAAATTTTTCCCCAGCCTGCCAATAGCGTGTCACTGGGACGCGGCATTTGAAAGAGGTAGTGCATATTGCTCTCGTCGGTTTTTCATTGCAAGGAAAATGACGGAGTGACTGGAGCAGTCCTACTGCATCAAATTTTGCCAAAAATTGATTGACAGCCAAGTGGAAATCATTCGGAAGATAAGACTGCATTCGGTGACGAGGCTATGAGCCCCACACAGATTAAGAAGTGGTACAACTGGTTTAAAGACGGCCGCACATCGGCGGAGAGCGAGCCACACTCCTGCCAGCCATCAACATGCCGAAATGACCAGGTCATTGCCAAAGTGAACACTGTGAAACTATCCTGGAAATTGTGGAAGATGTGGTCATCAGCACTTTTTCTGCACAATCCATTATGATCGATAATTCGGTCATGAAAAGAATTGTGGTTAAATTCGTGCTGAAACTGCTCACGATAGACCTAAAGCAACTTTGTATAAAGTCTCACAGGACATGCTGGATTTCACAAGCAATGACCCTAACTTTATGAACACCATTATCACTGGTGACGAGTCTTCGGTATATGGGTATGACCCGGAAACCGAATCCCAGTCGTCACAGTGGAAGTATTCTACGACACCAAGACCAAAGAAAGCCCGTTAAGTGCACAGCAACGTCAAAATGATGCAAGTGCTTTCTTTGACTCCCGAAGTGTGGTGCACCACGAGAACGCACCACAGGGTCAGACAATCAACAATGAGTACTACAGAGATGTCCTCCGTCGCCTACGTGATGCTGTGCGGCACAAAAGACCTGAGTTGTGGTCAACAGAAAACTGGTGCATCCATCACGACAATGTTCTCGCACATTCCTCACACTTGCTCAATACTTTTTTGGCAAAAAGTCAGACTGCTGTAGTTCAACAGGCTCCTTAATCTCCTGATATGGCCTCCTGGGACTTCTGGCTGTTTCCCAAACTCAAGAAGACATTGAAAGGAGAGCGATTTCATACAAGAAAGGACATTATGGCTGCAATAACAGCTCAGCTAAACTCCATTCCGAAAGAGGCCTTCTCAGAATGCTTGCAACAATGGTAGCACTGCTGGAAGAAGTGTATGAAATGCCAAGGAGACCACTTTGAAGGGGAATAGGTTTGCAATGCTCCAACTATGCCAGTTTTTTTTTTCTCCCACCAAAGGTCAGATACTTTTCTAAGAGGCCTCGTATACGTTGCAGCGTGTAAGCGCGCGATTGCCCACTTCATAAGCAGAGAAAGGGCGCGCAGTTACGCGAAACTCTGCGCACTCTCTCTGCAGAAGGAGTGGGCGCGACGTCACGTCAAAAAACCACACGCTGACGAGCGGCAACGTGTACATGTGGTCTTGCCCTTATGGTCGGTACAGAAGACACACCTGAGCACACGCCATAATATAAAAGCTTACAAACTCGAAAATAATGTACACAGCTTTGCTTTCGCAAAGTGCCACCAAAATTTAATGGTGCTCGATATTATACACGGAGTAAACAGCCATGAGAGAAATGGCAACACTGCGCCAAGTAAAAACTTAAAAATGGCCCTTATGTGTCACTCCGCCACAGTTTTATAGTCTTGTCATTTTCCAGGGCGGCTGAAGCAATGATGTTCTCTGTCGGATGGCACGCCGTACACAGGACCACATCTGCATACAAATAAGACCTGCCAAGAAGTTCTATCACTAAAATGACACACCCACCTGTATGTCCTTGCAGCTTCTGCATCACTTCCTTGGTCTGCAGATTCCAGATGTACACAGAGTTGTCCTCCGACCCAGACACAATCCACTGTAAAAAAAAAAATGCACTTCTCATTCACCAGCTTTAAACACCATGCATCCCAGACACAATCCAGTGTAAAAAAAAAAAAAAAAGCCGCCCTTCTCATTCACCAGCTCTAAACACTTTGCATGAGATGCTACAAAGTTGTCCTCCGACCCAGACACAATCCACTGTAAAAAAAAAAAAATCTGCACTCATGCATGAGATGCTGCATGGTTCTTGCACTCGTTTGCTGCGTTTGTTCTCTGTGCAAATAAATATTCATTCAGTATTGCTAGATATGGACTGCAGACCATTTCATTATTCAGCTTTCCAGCGCATAAGAGCAATATCTTTCCAGAGGCTTGGCACCCTGACTACTCTGAATGACGCCTTCACACCAGAGCCTACATAGTTCACGTTCCATGTTCACCGGCCCAGAGGCGATGGCCTCACCATGGTGGAAAATGATGCAAGCCTGCATTGCCATCTCCAGGTTCATGCTTGTGCAACAGTGAATCAATGCTGCAAGGAGTAGAGCCACCCGGCAACATGGCTCTGGGATGAAAGTGATGCTATCTGTTTGGGACTGCCGATTGGAAAACCTAACATCACTCGCCCCAGTTTGTGAGCGCCCGCATGCGCACTATAGCGTAGCGGCCTATCTAATCGGCAGCGCCACCTGCGGCGCCTTTACTCAGATAAACTCCAAGCCCAAGCGAGGGCCGGGGACACGTTTTATCAATCTCGCTCCCGCCTCCGGCGCGGTCGGCACGTTTTCATGTTCGAATAAAGCGCATTCTTCTCGTTCACAACGCCTCTCAGCCTTCATGCCTAGCCCGCCCAGCCCTCACAACTGGCGCAGTCGACTCCGAACCATGCCTGGAACGTCGCCTTTTGCCCGCCTCGTGAAGTGATCCGCCGGACTAGCCGCGCGGCGCTCCGTCCTGTGTTTACCGTCCGCCGCCCGATACGCCTTTCGGCCGCTTCGTCCGAGTCATTTCGTGCCTTTGCCTTTTGTTTCGCCGACCGTCGTGCTGACGCCCACCCGCCCGATGAAGTAGCTCGCCTGCAGAGCCGAACCAACTTGACCTGCCCGCCTTTTTCGTCTCTCGTGAGTCTTGTGCTCCTTCTGCTAATTTCTTGTGAACGCCATGCCGCTTGTGAACTGGAACGAGGCTACGCCTGAGGACCTCGCCGGCTTTACAGCAGACTTCCTCCGTGAAGAGTTGGTTCGCCGAAACCTGGACGCTACGGGGCCGAAGGAAGAAGTGATCAATCGTCTCCTCGCCGATATAGCCCAAAACCGCTCAATGACGCCTTTGTCGCCTTCCCCAGATTCCTCAGCGTCCAGCCAGCGCCCGAACACTACGCCGCTTCCTTCGAGCTTCGATGCAGCCCAAAGTACCGAGTTGCTGACGGGTTTACTTCAACAGCTCCTTCAAGTGTCACAACGCGCTGCAGCGCCAGTTCAGGTCACGACCCTTCCAGACCTGTCCGCATCGCTTCCTACATTTAATGGAGACGGCAGCATTTCAGCGTCCCACTGGATTGAAGAGTTGGAACGAACTCGAAACCTAGCTTCGTGGGAGCCTTCAACCGTACTCGCCGTCGCTCTGGGAAAGCTCCGTGGAGCAGCCGCGGATTGGAAAGCAGTCATTGGCCGTCAGTGTCCCACCTGGGACGCCTTCAGGCAAGCTTTCTTGGATCAATTCAGCGCCAAGCAAACCTTACTACAGTGGCAACAAGCTGTTACTTGTCGCGTGCAAGCGCACGGAGAGAACCTGGTCCACTATTCTTTGGCGAAGTTGAAGCTCATTTCGGGATGCCCAGTCACTCTTACCGACACTCAGCGCATAGAGTACGCCCTTCAGGGCATTTCCGACGAGAACCTGGCCACTACTATAGCAGCACAACGGCCAGAAACCGTCGCCGCCTATATGGACATCGTAACGCAGCTTGACCAAACATTGAGCCACTTGTCTCGTCGACTCCCACGCCCAGGGTATTCAAGCACCAAACTAGTAATGCCAAGCCCACAGGTGCCCCACCACAGTGAAGAGGGCACGAATGTTCAGGCGGTACCAGACAAAACAAGACAGCCGCAGCGAATCGCAGCCCTACCACCAGACCAACAAGAGGCTCGGTACCTGACCATCTCTACGAGGCACGGCGCTCCTGCCTACCGTTCTGGCCAGAACTTGGCCGAAGCCGTGTGTTTTCAATGCCGCCAAAAAGGACATCTAGCTTCAAAGTGCCCATCCAGAGCTACTGCCACACAGTCTACAACGCATCCTTCGCCAGCTCTTCACAGCACACTTTCCGAGACCCTTGATGGATCGCTGGTCCAATGCGCCCTTGTAAACGCCACAATTGCTGGAAGCGGCCAAGTGGACGCATTTCCAGACAGTGGTTCCAAGGTGACACTTGTTTCTCGTCACCTTGTCAGATCTTTGCCCCTCCTGCCCTGGACCAGACCCCCTCTAGTTGTCGTTGGAGGAACGACAGTGGCTCCTGCTGGTGCTATCTGCTTGAAGATCTCTGTGGGACCCATCACCGGTTTGGTGGAAGCCGCCGTCCTCGATAACAATGCCATGCCACTTATATTGGGGGAAGACTGGTTTGCTGCCAGTCACGCACAGTTGGTGTTCCAGCCACCCATGCCAACTGAAATTCGTCATCCCACCACAGGAACAAGTGTGCGGTGCTATGAGCGACTGTTGCCCAGGATGTCGAACGCTGTTATGATCCAGGGGTCATCTTTCAATTACCATGTATCTGGACACCACAGCTCAGCAGGCCTCCAGCGAATGCCACTCCCAGGCCCAGATGAACCCCCGTGGTTAGCACTATCTTGTCAATATGAGGTTTCAAACACCAACGGCCCGTCTTCTGAATGCAGGCGAGGTGCTTCTTCAACAATAGAGGTTTGCATTGACCCATCCTTGCCTGCCGCTCAGGTTGGTAGCCATTTGCCAGCACATCAACAACGGGAAATCACGAGCATTCTTTCGAAGCACGCTGAAGTATTCGCTCGTGAAGAGGATGACTTAGGTCTGTACGAGGGTGTTGAACACTCAATCGACCTTCTTCCCGATGCTGTGCCATACAGTCGATCCCCTTACCGTTACTCTGCTGCAGACCGTCGTTTTCTTGAGGCTCAAATAAGCACACTCCTTCGGCAAGGCATCATTCTACCAGCCTTAGGACCTTGGGCATTCCCCGCAGTGGTTGTCAGCCGAGGTAGCAAGAAGCGCCTTTGTGTTAACTATGTGCCCCTAAACAAGATGACTGTGAACGTCGTGCAACCACTTCCACATGCGGATGACATCATGGATGACATTGCTGGGTCACAGTACTTCGCCTGCCTTGACCTAAAGTTTGCTTACTGGCAAGTTCGCGTTCGTAAGGAAGACCAGGCAAAAACTGCTTTTGTGACCCACTATGGCACCTTTATGTGGACCCGCATGCCATTTGGGCTGAAGAACGCACCTGCCACTTTCCAGCGAGCCATGCAGTCAATTTTTGCTAACCTGCAGCCCCATTGCCCAAAGTGCGGTGTGCGGGTGTACTTGGATGATGTTCTGGTTTTTGCGCCAACTTTTGACGAGTTTGCAAGGTTACTCGACGAAGTACTTGGTGCACTCCTTGCCAGTGGATTCAAAGTTTCACTTGACAAGTGTAAGTTTGCTTTGAAGTCTATCAGGTTTCTCGGATTCATTTTGAGCAGGGACGGCAAGCAGCCTGACCCTGCCAAAGTCGAAGCCATCATGAAAATCCCACAGCCTGCAAACAGCAAAGCAGTTTTGTCATGGCTCCAGACAGCAAACTTCTATCGCCGATTTGTGAAGAATTTCTCTCGGATAGCAGCACCGTTGCAGAGTCTCATACGGTCTGAGGAGTTTGCCTGGACCAGCGACTGCAATGAAGCCTTTCAGCGAATTCGCACAGCATTAACAGAGGCACCTGTACTGGGCCATTTTGATCCAGACGCCCAAACCACAGTCACAACAGATGCCTCAGGAACCGCAATTGGTGCTGTGCTCTCTCAGAAACAGTGTGGAAAAGAAACTGTGATCGAATATGCGAGTCGTGCACTCACGGCCGCAGAGAAGAAGTTGCATAGCAACGTTTGGGAGTGTATTGGTGTCCACTGGGCGGTTACGATCAAGTTCCGACACTACTTGCTCGGCAAGAAATTTTGCCTGTTGACTGACAACTGGACCGTTGCATGCTTAACAGCCAACATCAGGCCTTCACGTCGTTTTACGACCATGTTGATGGATCTTACAGAGTTCGACTTCACTGTGCAGCACCATCCAGGCCGTCAAAACGTGGTTGCTGACATGCTGTCACGATTATCTGCAGCAGTCCTCCATCAGACACAGTCTCTCGCAGCTATGCAAGCAGAAGACAAAGAGTGCCAGGACCTTCGTCGCTCTCTGTCATCTTCAGAATCGTGGGACCATGACCTTGCCATAATTGATGACATCCTGTACCATAGTGACGCGACTTCAGGTTCTCAAGCTATTGTAGTGCCAGCAAAGATGCGCCAGGCTGTCCTGGAGGTTGTTCATGACGGTGGAGGCCACATGGATGTAACCCGGACACTGACCAAAGTGAGAGAACGTTACTGGTGGCCAAACCTTACGTCTTCAGTGACCCACTACGTCACAGCATGCCAGATCTGCCAAAGCAACAACCGCCCAATATCTAAAAGTGTTGGCAAAATGGGTCTCATGCCAGTGTCGGATGTTCCTTTTGCCTTAATTGCCATTGATCACATCACAATGCCGGCTGCTTCAGGAAAGAAGTACATTTTGAATGTCATTGACTTTGCCACGCGTTTCATTGTCCCAGCGGCTGTAACTTCAACATCAGCTAAGGAAGTTATAGCACATTTACAGTCGGTGTTCTTCCGCTTTGGTTGTCCTGATGACTGCATGTCTGACCATGGAGCAGCCTTTGAATCTCACCAGTTTAAGCACTTCATGCACATGCACGGTGCTGAGATTCATTATTCAGTG